TTATTACAAAAAAAAAACGAAAAGGATTTCAATTTATTTATTTATTTTTTTACGGTAACAAATTAATTTTTTTTATTTAATAAATAATATTATTATGTATTACAATAATAATAATAATAATAATAATTAATTTTTTAGTATAAGGGTGATAAAACCGGTTGATAATATTCGAATGAAGTTCGGTAAGCGAAGTATTATAATCAAACTTTATCAATTTTAATATAAAAACATAAACATGTTTCACTTTATATTAATATATATATATATTATAAGGTAATTTTTATATAATTTAAAAATGCATTTAAATAATATTATAATTATTAGCCCACTAATATTTTATATTGAAACTGACGTCATCTCACTACAAATAGGGAAAATTCTTTGTTTTTTGGTCTTGTCAAATAGAAAATAAAATTGTTGTATATAAAAAAAAAAAAAACTATAATTTATTCAATTAAAAAAATTAAAAATAATTTATAATTGTTTTTATATAAATTATATTTATAGAGAGAGAAAGAGTGAGAGAGAGAGAGAGATAAAAAAAAAAAATTCGAATGAATATATATATATGTATAACGACTTAGATTTTATATATAGAATTTAAACTAATTCCAATCTTTTCATTTCTTTAAATAATTCAGACCCCATTTTGGCAGGAGATTTTGTTACTATCACTCCAGCGGATTCGAGAGCTTTTATTTTATCTTGAGCTCCTCCTTTACCCCCCGATATTATGGCTCCTGCGTGACCCATTCGTCTTCCCGGGGGAGCCGATAATCCCGCAATGAAACTCACAACGGGTTTCGCTTTTATTCCCTGACGATAAAAAGAAAAAAAATTAGAATAATTTTTTAAAAAATTAGTTTTTGTTTTTTTTTTGTAAATTTACTAACGTAATTGTGTTTGGTTAAATATTCTGCTGCCTGTTCTTCCGCGACTCCTCCGATTTCTCCAATGAGTATTATTCCTTTCGTGTCAGGATCTTTTATAAAACATTCAAGACAATCTATGAAATCCGTTCCGTTAAATGGATCCCCACCGATTCCAACGCATAAAGTTTGACCTAATCCCACCTAGTAAAAAAAAAAAATATTTTTTTTTTCAATATTTTTTTCTTTTCAGAAATAAATTTTAAATGTAGACAATCACCTGAGTGGTCTGATGAACTGCTTCATATGTGAGAGTACCAGATCTTGATACGATTCCAACACAACCTTTTTTATGAATATGACCTGGCATAATGCCTATTTTACACTAAAAACAAGTAAGTACTAAGATGAATAACAATAAATTGTGATAAGTAAATTGAAGATGATAAAAATTATTTATTATTACCTCATCGGATGCAATTATTCCAGGGCAGTTAGGTCCAATCAAGCGAGATTTATTCTGACGTAATAACTGATGTTTAACTTTAACCATATCCGATTGAGGAATACCTTCTGTAATGCATACAATTAAGGGCATTTCAGCTTCAATGGATTCCAGAATGGCTTTAGCTGCACCTGGTGGTGGTACATAGATAACAGATGCTGTAGCTCCAGTGGCTTGCATAGCCTTACACATGTTAAAAAAATGACATTAAGTAAAAGAGAGAGAGAGAGAGAAAGAGAGAGAAAAAAAAAACACATCACACTACCTCTTTGACAGAGTTGAAAACAGGTTTTTCTAAATGAGTTTTTCCTCCTTTTCCAGGAGATACTCCTCCGACTATTTGGGTTCCATATTCTAAAGCTTGAACACTATGAAATGTTCCTTGTTTTCCAGTAAATCCTTGGCAAATAACCTTTGTGTCTTTGTTAATTTTTAAATTCGGCCTGGTAGCATTATAATTAGTTCTAACATTTTGAAGTTTTAGAGTTTGACAGGCTACAATTATGAAGTAAATAAATTAGAAATCACTTTTAACATCAAAAGACTGTTTTTAATGAGAAACAATAAGTTTTAATATACATAATTTATACTTATTTATAAATAAACATATGTTTATGGTTTATAAATAATTTAAAAAAATTATCAAAATGTTTAAGTTTGTTCAATTACTTTTAATAATGTGTGCTTGGTAAAAAAACAATAATAATCGTTACTTATTAATAATTTTTTTTGATGACTTCATTAAAAAAACAATAAAATGTATAAGCAATAAAAATTAATCCTAGGGTTATTATTAATAGAAAAAATTAAAAATAGACAATAATTTTCATTGTATTGAGAAAATTGAGCTTGACCTTTTACCTCAAATAAGTGTGTTAAGCAAGAGCATGGGTTTTTGTTAAAACTATTTTTAAGTCAATAGTAAATTTATTGACCTTTAATATGTATTTATATTTTTTCCTATTTAGACAAATCAAAAAAATTGATTTTACAAATTTAAATTTGATAAATAAAATTCTATAATAAATCAATAACATGAATAAAATAGTAAATTGCGTACGGGATTTTTAATAGTCATTTCAAAGGTATTGAAAATTTTTTAAATAAATTTTAAGGGTGTTATTTCAATGAAAATATTTGAAAATAGGGTCACCTATTACACATAATGTAAAGAGATTAATATGTTATTTTCAATACGTAAATTTTCAAGCAAAGATTTTTCAAATATTTAATAATGAAAGGTCGAAAAAATTGTAATTTTTAAAGAGAAAACTTAAATACGGATGATTTCGTTGTATCAAAATTATAAATATTACCTTAACCGTAGAGTCAAAAGCAAATTTTAATACCTGAATTTCTTAAAAGTGCTCTCACTGAGGCCGCCATCTTCCATGGATGACCGCTTTACCTGCCCTCTAGCGTCAAATAAAAAAAATATTTGCGACACTGATAATCGAGTAAAACGCTACAATCATGTAAGACTTCTTGTATCAGAATTTTAAGGATATTTTTAATATAAATTTTTTTTAATTTTTTGTAACATATGTTGTGTCGAATGTAAAAAAAACTTTAAATTACGATGTCTTTTAATTTCAAAAGAGACGATATAGAAAAACTTATTATTCATTACACTGTCAACATTTCTTAAGTTGGCGAATGTCATTGTTTACACTTTTATTTATTTTTTTTTTTGAATTGTTGATGTGAATACAATTAAATATGGAATAAGTGAAATTATTATCAGGAACTTCTTTTTAAATTTGCAGTTAAAAAAAATGCCCACTGCTAAATATTTGTCTGAATATTTCGCGATAGATATTTTATTGAGATTATTTTTATTTTCATTGTACGGGTAAGTGTTAACGTTACATTTGTTTGAAACTAGTAATATTTACTAACAGATTTTTTTTAAAAAAAAATTAATAATTTATAATTTTTTATTTGAATCAAATTTAGTGTGTTTCAATTAATTCCTCCTTTTAAACGTGTTATTCATCCTGAAGAAGTTTGGCTGTACAAAAATCCAGTAACGGCCAGTTATTGTCCAATAAAAATATTATGGGAAATTGTAGTTGTGACGCCTTCAGCAACTATATTTGCCAATTACATTTTCAGTAAAAACAGAATAGATTTAATTCAAGCATTCCTTGCTTTTTCTTTAACTCTTTGTCTAAATGGAGCTCTTACAAATATTTTAAAAGTAGTCGTGGGTAAGTTTATATGTTTCTAATTTTGATAATAATTTAATGTTTATTAACTTACTCGAAATAATAACTTTCAGTTATAGCGAGTATTATTAGTTACCTGCATTTTTTAAGTACTGAATGTAAAAAAAAAAATTTTGTTTGTCGTTAAATTTCGGGTATAACATTAATGAGAAATAAAAATTACTCCATTTTATAGAGCATAATAATTTTGACTGAAATAACTTTGTATATAATTGAAATTAATGATTTCGATTTATCGTGGTTTTCAATGAAACGATTATATTATTATTGGTTTTTACCTAGCTGTAAAATTATATTTAATTATGTTATTTTGCATGGTCTTAAATTAATTTAAAATGTTATTTCAAATTTTAACCAACAGGTAGACCTCGTCCAGACTACTATTACAGATGTTTTCCTACAGGAGAAGGGCATCCGCAAATTGAATTTTGCACTGGTGATATTAATGTAGTGCATGAAGGGTTAAAAAGTTTTCCTAGTGGTCATTCTTCGATTGCATTTGCTAGTTTAGGATTTTTATCATTGTACTTAGCTGGAAAAATGCATTTATTTGCCCCTAGTGGAAAAGGGTCAACTTGGAAATTACTACTATTTTTGTGCCCTTTATTTTCAGCTTCTTTGGTTGCCATAAGTCGTTTATGTGATTATCATCATCATTGGCAAGGTTTGTTTTTAAACCCAATTAAATTACATTAATGTTAATTATTCAATTACAATATGGCTTATTTCTTTTTTATTAACATTGTTAATAGCATGATTAATAATTTTGTTTCAGATGTATTGTGTGGGTCCATTCTTGGCTTTACTATTTGTTGGCTTTGTTACCATAATTATTATCCATCCCTTCAAGATGAGCATTGCCATTTGCCTTGGGTTCAAATAAATAAAAAACAAATTAAAGAATTGACAGTTAAAGATATTTGACAAAGCTTAAAACATATTTAACTGTTTTTTTTTTTT